TCCGATTTTAATTTGGGTTTTTGGACTTGGTTGTCTTTGGCTTTTGGTTTTTTTTTTGCGCATGTTTTGATTTTTATCATCGGGGTGGGTTGGCTGGCGGTGGGTCTCTGCTCTGCTCGTCCAGCCAGTGGTTTTCATTTGTTCATGACGCGCGTGACCCACTAAAAAAAGGTATTTTTTCGATGCTTTTTGTTTTTGTTTTTGTTTTTGTTTTATTTGTGTCAAAGCAATTTTCGTGCATGGCTCAAGAGCAGACTGAAAATCGAATCAGGCCCAAGACCCTACGGGAGGAGCAGACCCCAGCGATACCCAATCGGGTTTCTACAGTAGCCGCCAAGCAGGAAGCAGCCAGAAGACTTATTCCCCTCTCGGCCACTTGGCCACTTGGCCACTTGGCGGCTCATAATTATTAATTTTTATACGTGTTTGGTGTTCGCTGTGCTGTGCACCATCGTCTGATATATCATCTGTGTCTGGCGTCCGAGAAATGTTCGTGCTATAAACTTAATTTGTGAAATTTTCAGTTGTTTCTTAATGATTTGCGTGGCTTGGCATGGGCGCTCGGCGCGTGTTTCGGCCGCCTCTGCTGGCCACGAAATCAGAAGGAAGTCGGCCGGCAGTCGGCAGTCGGCAGTTGGCAGTTGGCCGGAGGTTACTAGAGCGTTTAGCCCAAGACTTATGATTTTGTTTCTTTATTTATTCATTAATATTGTGGCTAATTGAATTTGGCTTTGGCTACCATCATTTCGTCTCTCCCAACATGCCGCTGACCTTGCCACCTTTGTGTGTGTGTAGCTGGCCACAAAGTTTGTTTATGCCGGTGCCGTGAGCACATCCGTCGACCCCATCTCTGCCGAGAAGAAATGTATGCCAAATGTTCTTAGCTTGAACTCGATCGCAGACTGCAGATCGCTTGACAGAGCAACTCGTTTGTGGTGGCCCCGCACCTGAAGCGTCTTCTGGCGTGGCTTCCAGTGCTGCTTCCTCATCCATTGTCTCTCTGTTCTTGCCACATTTGTTTGACTTTTGCGGTACTTTGCCTGCCCGCTCGACTTGAACTTGCTGCCTCTGCTGCTGCTGGAGGAACCCGCAACTTCTACTATCTGTCTGCTGAATACTGAACAATGTGAACCGTTGCTGTAATTATACTCTGCCCCGCAGCTCCAGCCAGCTACACCGCTGTTCGAATGCCCATGGATTTTGACAATATGCAACCCACGGGGGGAGCGATTCTACTTCCTGGTAAACCAGTGGAAAAACAAGAGGAATTCCCTTCAAAATTCCCCTTTCTAGGAAAGTATTCCCTTTGATATGCATTCATAATCAACATTTATGGCCGAGCTTTTCCCGAAGTAATCATCCTCCTTTCTTTCTAGAGCATTTCACAGTCGCTTCTAAATGGAATTTCCCTTTGTCACTGCACTCAGCATTTAGCTTCATTTGGCTTTTTGTTCTACATACAATACGAATACTTTGTGTGGATATTTGTTTGTGTATGCTCTGTGCTCTGGTCTGTTCTGGCTTTATGCAGATAGTTGTGCCCGACAGACCCGAACAGTCTGCTCTTTTTCTGTGTGTGTTTTTTTTGTTCTGTTTGGATCGCTGGATGAGTAACGAACCCCTGGCCCGTTCACTTTCAGATAAGTTGGGAAAGTAAAGAATCCACACCATGCCACGCCACTCCGTTCATTTGTGGAACAAAGCTCACAAAAACCCAAAACAGAAATTAAAAAATAAATTACAATTGCAATCGTAGTCGCAGTCGCAACGCTTTTTACTCCCCCTAGTAATACTTTTTGGGTTTTTTTGTGGAGCGCTGCCCTTTGTAGTTCGAAGTTCTGTGACGTTGGTTGCCCCCACCTGTAGGGCGGAGAGGGTTCAGAAAGGTTCCAGCGCGATAATGTGGAACTTTTAACGTGTCGTTTGTGGCACCAATTTGCATATGCCCGAAGAACCAAACTCAACCACTCAAAAGCCCAACCACTCTATAAACTCCATATGGCAGGCAGTACACGTAGTCATGGAACCCCAATAGTACCCCCAAACACGAGCAATTGAATGTCGAGGCAGACACTCATTAGAGAACAGCACTAAAGAACCTCCCAAAAACTATAACGATTCACGTTTCTATTCCACTCTTTCTCTCTCTGTTTTATGATTGTATCTAATTATCATAAATACAGAAGAGAAGAAACAGCAAACAGCAGATTGATTGATTGTTGGATTCAACTTTTGTACCTAAGCTAAAAGAACATAACATTTCGTAACGATTCATGGCAGGAACGCTGTGCGATAACAGAGCACTGTTAACATATACAGAGCTCTGTTAGCAGCGCCAGAGGAGCAGAGAGAGAGAGAGAGAGAGCGCGCGCGCTTCCGTGAAATTCCGAATTTCGTTGGGTTTTTGTTTTACGTTATCTCCCTTTTTTTATTGCTGTTATTCAAATTGTCAATTTGTCAGCGCCGTTGATTAACAAATGGCATTTTTATACATTTTTATTAAGACTGAATTATGGGCCTGCGTGCATGTACTTCATTTGCTCTTCTTGTTCTTCTGCTGCTTTCGATTGATACATCCGAATAATAAATGAATGTACATACAAATACATATGTGTACCCACGAAAATATTTGTTCAAGTGTTGATGATAATTTAGCTTTTGGCTGGCAATAAAAATAGTCGCGAAATGGACCCAAAAAAATAAATGTGTGTTTTCCCCGCCTCTGTCGTCTCTGTCGCCGACCTGAATAGGGCGAAAAAGAGCTGTAAACAAAACGAAACCCAAGCCCCAATAGAAGCCCCAAACAGATTTCTGTACAGAGGAGATGCTAATTGAAAAGTCTTGACATCTGTGGCTGTAGCTGGGGCTGGCGCTGGGTCTCTCTCCAATTAGCATTGAACAAATCACAGAACACACTAATCGAATCAGAGCAGATCTTTGGGCCATTCTTCGCTGCCTTTTTGATTGCTTTTACAAGTTTTCCACAGCGAATCGATTGGCAATGAAAAACTCCGACACTCAGCCCACAGTAAACATTGATTGTTTGGCCACAATAACCATAGAAATAAACATTTTAGCCCTGCGAATGGCACACACCACACAAAACACCACACAAAATAAAATCAAAGTTCCCTCGAAGGTCGAACTAATTTCACGGATCTGCTGCTGCTGCTGCTGCTGCTGCGGGGGGTGTGGACTGAACTCAACTCAAGATCTATCGCAATCGCAGTCGTCCGAAATTCTTGTCGCTGCTTTGATATTGTAAAATGTTTATTGATTATTTCTTTTTTCTTTAGGTTTCTGTTTATGCTGTCTCTGTTGCCTGGCTGTTGTTGCGGTTCGAAAAACCCCAAAACATTTTTACTCGTACACAGCAAATTCCAGTTGAAATTATTTCGTGCGAAGCCTCAATAAAAAAAGAGCTATTCGGCATTGCAGAATAATATTAAAGTTTTTCTTTTTGTGTCCCAGCAATGCTGTACCCTATGCGACAGAGTGTGAGTATATATGCCGTTTAGGGCAGGGGAAAGTATAGACATATCTTTAATACACATTTATCTGCTTATCTACCAAATGTAATCAAGATTCCACTATGTTTAAGGGAAATTCTTTCATTCTTTTGAGCCACTCCTCGAGTCAGCTGTTGTGCAGACACAGAAACACCTTCTGCTACCACTTAATGGTGTCCTCATTTTCATCGTGGCACTCCAGAGGGTTGCAACGACACCAACGAGTCGCTTCTGAGGGTGACGACCACTCAACCGTAGCAGCTGGGCTCTGTCACTGGCCCATGGCCCATGGCCATAACCGGTTTTGGCCACATTTTGCCATGGCTGCAGACAAAGGTCCTCATTGTTCTCATTCTGCCATAAACTCGAACGATGGAAATCGATAAGATCTTCGCACTGATAGCCAACAGGGCAAAAGTTGGGTCTTCGGTTCTGTGCAAAGTGTAATTCAGACAGCACTCAAATGGCCCGAATGTCAATAGATCTCTCAGTATGAATTATGGCGAGTGATTTGCTTTGTTGACGCGTGTCTTGGCCAGACATCAGATACACATACAAACAGTTACAAATCGAAACGGAATCCGAATCCGAATCCAAAGACAATTTGCCATGGTAGGGTAACCGAATGCGGGGCAGGCGGCAGGAAACGTGCTTCAGTTTTGCACCTGCCGCCTACGTGGCTGCTTCCCAAAGGGAATGGCAGTAACAGAGAAAGAAAGACGAAGAAAGATTGAAAAAGAGCACGAGGATGGAGGCGAGGGAAGCAACAGCTGTGAAAATTTATCAGCTCCGCTAAGTGTGCGAGTTTGTCGGACTGTTGGTCGGTCGTAAGGTTAGGCCACAGTTGCTGCGGAGACGGAGACGGAGTCAGAGATCCCAGCCAGTTGGCAGCAGCAACTGTCGTCATTAGCGGAGACGCAAGGCATTGAGCATGCTAAATATGGTTCCACTGAAGTTAGCCGACACACAGAGACAGGCAGCGGCACAAACTAGTACAGAGGCAGGGGCAGCGCCGCAACAGCAGGCAGCAGCCAGAAGCCAGCAGCCAGCTAGCAGCAGACTGATCCAATCGAGACAGCAATGCAGCCAACAAACGACTTACATACAGAGCATAGTTTACTCGTACTCGATCGAGAGATCTTGGGAAAAACTGCTCCAAACCAGTAAGAACGCTATTGGCCACATTCCAGCTCAAATCGCGCCGAATGGCAGCCGAATACTAACTAGAAACTAGTTTTTGTCACTTGTGGTTTTAATAATTACTCGATTGCAAACAAATCCCAACAAACACTGCCTGTTGGCAGTCATGTTTCCCGTGTCCCGTTTCCCGTTTCGTTTGCCCACTGATGAAGTTCCCAGAAGGAAAGTGTCCCAAGTGCGGCTGACTAATCGGGAAGTGTTCTAGTACTAAAGCGCTTATCAGCGCTGAGATCATATGCAGTCAGTCGAAAATAACTGACCACCGAAGCAAGCAATTGTGTTGATGTTTACCTTCTGATTCGAAATTTGCCGCCGAACACCATTTTCATGTGATGGACGGTATCCAATATTGTGAAATCCAATATGACTGAAGCACACAAACACACGCGCACAGACACCCACAGGGGGGTTTACAGTTGGGGGAAGATACAGATGCCGATACCGGATTTACACACACTGAGAGAGAGCGAGAGCGAGAGAGAGAGAGAGAGACACTGACGACGGCGCACAAGTGACAACAAAATAAGGTAAAAACTTTGCGTGATATCTTTCTCCTCTTCCTTTTTGTTTTGTTTTTGTCAGTTATTTGTGCAAATTGAATGCAGCTTTTGGTCTGTCCGTTGGCCCCCGTTCGTCGCCTGTCGTCGGCTGGCCTAACATTTGAACCCGCGCTGCGCTTCGAATGAACTTCCTTGTCGGCACTCGGCACTCGGCACTCGGCAGTGTTTCGCTTTCGTTTGGATTCGTTTCGATTTGCTGTATTTGTTGTTGTGGGAATTTTGTATTTTTGGTTAGCAGGAAGTTAACGCGGCACATGCAGTCGATACACACGTATGCAAGTGTCACGAGAGATTGGCATTTTTAATTGCCCGATTATCGAATGCAATTGATTTACTTTCGTTGGGGATTCGCACGCGCATCGCCTGTCAGCACCATTCGTACGTCCGAACGCGTCCGCGGTTGCCAATCGTTTGAAGTTAAGGCCCAGCCAGCACCAGCGTGCCACAGCCAAAGGCCAAAACCAGTCGAATCGTATACTTTTTTTTTAAGAGCAAAAGAGTCTCGGGGTAGGGAAGAGCGCAAGCGGAAGAGCGGAGCCTATACTGGGAGACTTGTTTGTATTCATTTTACATGTAATTTTTCACCGATTGTTATGATTTTTGGCTACCCGCTAGACAATAATGTTCTTAATGATTCTGCATTTATCATTTTGTCATACCTCAACATTCCTGAATACCACACAGTTTCGCAAGTCCCCTGAAGCCGGTTCAACTCCACCGGCTTGAAGAGAGCGAAGAGCAAAGAGAGCAGCCAGCAGCATAGATACCAACAAACACTAGTCACTGGCTAGGAATTCTATTAAAATAATAAAGCGGGAATACACCTTTGGGTTCTTGGCCTCTTTTATAGTCGCGAGTTATTTATGGCCCCATAGAATTAGGCGGATTCTTGCCATTTATTGCATATTTGCAAGAGATTAAAATTACCATCGAAACTACTTTAATGGTCGATCGGACAAGTGCCGCCTCGCTCTCCATGTCTTCCTCTCTTAGGATCATGCTCTTTATTAGGAAGAGAGCGCTGTGCATGCTCTCTCTCTCTCTCTCTCTCTCTCTCTTGCGGTTGCTCTCTTAATTTGCCCAAAAGCATGTTAAAGTTTTCGGACATTGCAGCATGTAGAATTCGTGTACAAGTCGTGTAAAAATAACAATTGCTGCTAAAAAATGTGTTCTGCCCGTGAAAAGATATATATAAATATTTTGATCTGCATTGGAATTAGAATCGTCTGTTCCATTTGGGAAACGGAAGTGCAGTCAATGCTTGGCAACTGCTGGTAAAACTTGTCTACATTTTTGGCCGCAGGATGTCGCCACGGAGTCATGTAATTGACATGTACTATGTGTCTTACAATCAAAATCTCCTATTAATGTGGTTGGTATCTTGTTTTTGCAAGCAAGCAAAGCCATAAATAGATATTCCTGTTCTATGTAATCATGATATTTTGTGGTTCAAGTGTGCCTTTTAGGTCTTGTCAAAGCCTTTGGGCACAAATCCATTAAATTCAATCACCTTTTGTTCGATTTTGCAAGCACTATTACACGCTGTGTATTCTCTCATCGGGAAGGCAATCTCTGCTTTGTCGCTGTTGCTGTTTCTATTGCTGTTGCATCGTCATCGTCATCGTCGCCACAGCAAAGCGAGCAAAGTTCAATCGATCATTGTGTGTGGTGCTGTCGATATTTAGCTGGCGATAGCGGCCCACAAATTATGGCAAACACTTTGTTAAATGTTGCTGCTCTCCAGCGACTGCCTGCATGCCTGCTGCCTGCTGCCTGCAGCCTGCTGCCTGGTGGCATACAATGTCTCGAACGTCGCTGCTAATCATGGCGACTGCATCGCCAGAGTCGCGACTTGTGGCTCTGTATAAATTGAATTGTCTATTGCATTGATTTGTTCGATTTGCGAGAGTGTGTGTTCCTTTCTTGCTGGGCTGGCAACATGGCGAATGAGTGATTTATAGTGCGCATACGACGCGTGGTCTGTGGTCGACAGTTAATTTGAAAATAATACAGCCCGCAGATCGAGCCATCGAGCACTCGAGCACTCGGGAGTGTTGCCCAATTGCCAAAATGCCTGCACTTTACTGCGATTTTGGAGCTGTCAGTGCGACGGCTGTGCGAGGCGATAATTAGAGTTCCTGTCAAGAGAACACATGGCACATGGCAGGCACACCTCTCTAGGGACGGGGGGATTGGAGTTACAGTTGGAGCTGGAGTGTTGCTCTAATTGAAGTCAGCTATTGGCGGACAAGGCAGACGACAGACTGTGTGCAGGTGATCTCTTTTGGATCTGTTTCGGACGGGACGTCGGGCTGCCCTTTGCTCTATTTTCAGCACGCCAGAAACTTTCAAAATGCAAATTAGGCACGTTCGTTCGTTCGTTTGGTGAACGGCATTTGAACCCAGTCTGGTCTCTGGACTCTGGACTCTGGAGCGAGAAGCTCTCCTCCGACGACAAGCCCATTTACAAGCCAGCAACAGCAAGCCGAAGTTTGAAAACTTTGCCACAAATTGTGTCAATATTTGTCTCGTGCTGAATGCTGCAGCGTTGCATACTGGATAACTGGATGCTGCCGCTGCAACAAATCGTGCCGCAAAGGTCTCCTCCGGTGTCAACGCCAGAGCCAACGAAAACTAAACACAAAAAAAAAACGACATACAGGAAAAACAAAAACAAATCTCCACCGAGAAAACATGACAGGCCATAGAAATGATTGAACATGCGGGAGGGAGGGACAGAGGGGACAGCCCCAGAGTGTGCCCAGATTTATAGAGAATAAAATATTGATCCACTGATCGTGCCACAAACAGCAAGAGAAACGGAAACAGAAACAAACCCCAACCGAATGTGTGGCTCTGAGTTATCTAATGCTTGAAATTTGGGTGCGATGCCCATACACAGTGACTGCAAAAACTATGCGCTAATGAACTGTGCGGCGTTCATCTATCAATGTCAGCAATGGCCACAAGAATGGACCTTTTGTCCCGCCTGCCCCGCAGATACATTTTCGATATTCAATTTGATTGGCTTTTACCGCCACAATCAGAACAAAGAACTCCAGGCAACTCCGGGGTGGGGCGTGGAGAGTGCTGTTAGTGCTGCTGCTGCCCACACTGGAGCCAAAAGCATAAATTGTTGCAACAGTTGACACATTGTGGCGGCAGCAGCAGCAGCAGCAGCAGCGACTCTCGTTTAGCGTTTCGGCGATTGGCAATTGGATCCAAGTGGGAGATTTAGTGGGTCGAAAGCGAAAGTCTCTGGCTCAGTGATCGGGTTGGCCTGGCTCTGGCATGGTCTGTTTCATAATCCAATTAAGCATTAGACGACAGCTGATTGACGGGCCCCACAGGCCTGGCTCTCCTCCGATCAGCCTCAAAGGAAGCAGCTCATTAGATCACCAAATCATTGAGGCCTGAGAGCTACCGTTCCGTGGAACCACGCACTCGATTGAACGTTAATTGGATTCGATAGGGTCAAGAACAAACGGCCCAAACAGAGGGCACACCCAGGCTCTATGCTTGATGGAACAAACGATCCTTGGACACTCACCCCTTCTCCAGATGGCTCTCCAGATTGCTGGCAATAATGTTGTCGTTGGCCGTTGTCGTGGGCCGTGCACGCGGCAGCAGTGGCGGCGGCACCTGTGGCGCCACAATAATGTTTTCGAGAATGGGCTGGGGCGGCGTGTGATGCGGACGCTTGCGATTGTTTGTGGGCGGCAGATTGGCGCATCCATTGGCGAGATGTTTGTGCTGCAATCAGAGAATCAGAAATTACAATTCGATTGTCGATTGTCGAGTAGTTGGTAGACGGCAGACGGCACCCACCTGCAAGCTCGTTGGCTTCTTGGGCACAAGAGGAGGCACCTTGGCTGCTGGAACTATGCTTCGAGCTGTGGCTGTGGCTGTAGCTGCCACTACGACTGTTGCTGGCGGCGGCGCGTAGGCTGAGCGACGCGTGGATGCCCCTGCGAAGCTGTTGCGTCGATTGGGCGATGGCGGTGGGCGTGGCTGGAGCACTTCCGGCGGCGGTGGCGGTGGCAGTGGCTCGTCAAAGGTGTAGCTGGTGTCTAGCTCCGCCCCGAGCGGCGGCGGTGGCAGATCGGGCGAGGGCACACGCAGATTCGGATGCTTGGGCGGACGCTCTGGCGCCTGGTGGGGCTGCGGCGGGTACGCGGCATGGCGATGCTGCTGCGGATGGTGCTGCTGGTGGGCCAGAGCCGCCGCCTGCTGCAGCAGCAGCTTGTCCCGCATCGGCGCGTACTCCGTGGCCGAGGATGTGCGTCGCGCGGGCATGGCCACGCGTCCGCGAGGTGGCGGCGGAGGCGGCGGCATGCCACAGTCATTGAACGAGAGCTTCTCCGCACTGCTGATGTTCCGTATGCTCGGCGGTGGCACCTTCGCCTGGTGCAGCTCCCGGAACTCGGCGTAGTCCGAGGCGGAGCTGGAGCGTCGCAGCAGCGTGGGCAGCAGGGAGCGGGAGCGTGGCGGCGGCGGTGGCGGCGTGGGCGAGCTGCAGCCACTCGACGACGTCGAGGAGCCCATCATGACGGGACTCAGGTTGTTCGGCAGCGACTTGCGCTCCACGTGCAGCGCCTGGTAGGACTGGGAGTGTGGACGCAGCAGCTGCTGCTCCTCCTTCTGCTGCAGCTGCTGCCGCTCCACGTACGACTGCACGGCGTTCTTCTGCAGCGCCTTGAGCGCGGGATTCGACAGGCGATGGGTCTTGCTGGGCTCCAGGTAGGCGAACTTCGGCGGCTCAATCATTTGGCTGCGCTCAAAGTCGTTGATTCTCTCGGCCACCGAGTGCCAGGTGGGCTGAACAGCCGCTCCAGCTGGCGTTATCACAGGTAGTCTGTCAGCACAAAGAGAGAGAGAGAGAGAGAGATTAGCTTTCAGGGAGGAATCTACTGCTTGGCTACTCACTTGGCGGACTTGTGCAGGCCGGAGCTAAACTGCGGCTTCGGGTGCTGCACGTACTGCGAGGTGTTGCTGTGCACTGGCTCCGTGTACGTGCTGACCGGGAACAGGCGATGGTTGCTGCGATACGAGGAGTCCAGGGCTGCCGACTGCTCCCCCATATTGGGTGCACTGCAGCTGAGGGCATCTGACTTGATCAGCTGCTGCTTGCTCGAAGGCAGCGCCAGCTGTGGCTGTGGCTGTGCCTGCGTCTGGGACTCACTTCCGGATATAGTCATCGAAATGCTGGACTTGTGCTGCTGCTGCTGCTGCTGCTGCTGTCCGGTGCGGCCCAAGTGCTGGTGGCTGTGCTGGAGATCGCCCGTGGAATGAGATTGACCCATCAGGGAGCGAGGCTTATCCGTGGGCGACTCCAGTTCGGGCAAGGAACTTTGTGTGCTCATCCTTGGCTGCTGGTGGAAGTGGTGCAGGGCCATGGACGTGTGCACGGGCGGATAGCTGGGACTGTGGCGATGCTGGACGCGCAGCGGTTGCATTGCCATCGAGCCGCTGCTGCTGCTGCTGCTGCTGCTCCTGCTGCTGCTGCTCCCGTCCTCCGAGGCCTGTGTGGCATGGCCATGGACGTGCTGCGAGGAGCAACTCTCTGTGGGCGAGCAGGAGGTCAACGTCATCGTCGTTGTCGTTGTTGTCGGTGTCGCTGGGGGATCACCGTCGTGCAGGTAGAGCACGCTCTCGCTGTGGTGTCGCTTGGGGGTCAGCACCCGGGAGCTGTGGACAATCAGCTGCGAGGAGGAAACTGCAGAGGCAGAACCAAAGAACAAAGGGAGAATGGTTACTTGGTTATTGGTTATTGGTTAGGGCGTGTTGCTCAGGGAGTAAAAGTGGGTCGAGAGCCAGACAATGAGCCAAGGTCGTGTATGGGAGTGAGTGGGCTGCAGCCGCGCCTGCCACTCGCCAGCCCAAAAACATATTTGCCAATTGTCCAAGAAGCATTCTCTTATTACGAGTGCCGCTCTAGGGATTGCCATAATGATCCAAATCTAAGCTTTGGCATCATAATTCTGGGACCATAGTAAATGCTTCTATGCATGCACTTCCTTGGCTCTCCATCTCTCGTTTGTTTCCCTTTCTTTTTGCTGGCGACACTTCTTACCCGATTCCGCAATGGCACTGTAGCCCGTGGCATGGCTCGCCTCGGATATATCGCTCATGGAGCCCAGCCATTTCAGGGTTTCCGTCGATGAAGTGCTCTCGGAGCTGTTGTTGTTGCTGTTCCCATTGTTGGTGCTCGTGTTGCTGCCGCTGCCGCTGCCACTGCTGCCGCTGATGATGTTGTTCGAGTTGGCTGTCAAGGCGGAAGAGGAGGAGTTGCCATGGGAATGGCTATGGGAATGGGAATGTGAGTGGGTGTGGGTGTGGGAGTGGTGGGAGCCAGGTCCGTTGCTGCTGCTGTTGCTGCTGCTGCTGCATTGGCGTGCCATCAGTGGAATGGGCGAGGGTGCCACCGAGTTGCTGCAGACCGAGGAGAGATCGTTCTCAGACCAATGATGTGACTGCCGCGACAGCAGATCGCTCTCCTGACGTAATCTGCACAAGAAACGAAAGAAGGAAAGAATAAATGTTGGATGGCACACACACACACACACACACACACACACACACACACACACACACTGCTTTCAAGTGGGGTTTTTGGCATTTTTCGGCAAATCATTGCGTGCTACAGAAAAGTTTCTGTTTCTGGTTTCTCGCCAAGTAATTACTTCAATTTCTGGGCTTAGCCTTCAGCATGTCGATGGAGACACACGAGAGACAGAGAGAGCGAGACTTCATATGAGACTACACTTTGGGGCAAGTTCAGGCGGCAGTTGGCAGGCAGTCCGTGGAGCCACTCGAGTCGCGGCTGAAAGACCTTGAAAGCCAACAGCTTCAAGCACTGGTCGTAGTCGTCGTCGCCGTCGCCGTTGTCGTTTTCAGTTTTATTTCTTCTTCTCTTCTCTCTCTCTCTCTCTCTCTTTGCATGTGTTATGGCGTTACCAAGAATCTTTTATGGCCGAATAAAATTGTCATAATTGTCGCCGCACGGTAACGTGTTTGCAGTGCACCAGCTGCCACCACTGGCCTGTCCCCCAACTCACTTGTCCAGGAATGGGGTGGCCGACGTGGAGTCCGAACTGGAGACATAGCTATGATAGCCCTCGGATTGGGCGTACGACGCCTGCTTCTGATGATGGAACGCCGTCTGGTCGTAGTACTGCGAGGATGATCGTATGTTGTACTCCTCCAAGCCAGCTTGGGTCAAGCCGCACTGATCCATCGCATGGAGGTGCTGGTGCTGGTGCTGGTGGAGCTGTAGCTGCTGCTGCTGCTGCTGCTGCTGATGCTGATGGTGATCCTGCAAGAGATCAGACAATGGAGAGTGAAATCGCTTCTTGCATAATGAAACCAAATGCCACATAATAATACTCGACAAAAATTTCAAACATTGAAATGGTTTAATCATTAGTTATGTGACCATCGACCATCGCGTATTGGTCTGGCCAAAATGCTCACATTTGCAAATGATCGCCGGCCATAATTACTGGCTGGCCACAGCACAAAAATCAACAAAATAACTGGAGTCCCCTGCCGGCAGCTGCCTCCTCCTGCAGCCCCCCGTGTTCATTAGATAATTAAGTGAAAATTATTGCAGTCCAGTCCAGTCCAGTCCAGATGGTCGCTGCAATTGGCAATCTCCGCGGAGCGAGCGAACATATTTTGAAGTGCAACCGAAAAACACAAGCCACCAAAGCTCCAAAGCGCTGTTGCAGCAACCAGCCACAGTCCACGTGGAAGTGGGTGGAAGCGAGCGGTGGGGCAGCGAATCGGAGCGTCCATAATAAGCCGGATTAAGCAATGCTCTGTGCATCGAACGAATGGCTGGATGATGGAGTCATAGCAGAGCTACACGGCGGCACACGGCACACGGCACACAGGGCTGGCTGGATGGCAGTGATTCATGCGGCGTTACGGTGATTCCAGTGATCAGTGAATCGAGTGATAACTTGTAAACAAACATGGGAAATAATCACAGTGATTCGAGGCACAAAACAAACAACACAAATCGCAAATGAACAAAGAGATCGTGGCAATAAAGTTACACTGAAGATGTCCTCCTATTTTACGAGCAGAGTGTACACAGAGCACACCCAGTCTTGGATGTCCATTCAGCCATTCAGCCATTTGTTGCTGCCATCCCTAGACAAAAGCTCACGCGTCGTATACTTAACAATTTGATGCCTGGCGACGAGTGTGTGTCTCATAAACCAAATCGAATAGTAAATACTCATGAATAATACTACGTGCACACACATATATGTATGAGTATGTGTGAGAGGCCAAGCCTCCAAGCCACTTGACAGACTTTTGGCTTGAAGCCTCTCGATTGCATTGAGATTGGCGCTTTGGCGCTTTGGCGCTTTGGGGCCTTTGGGGCTTTGGGGATTGTATTTATGTATCTCTGTTGGTCTTTTGGTTTTATTTCTGTATTTTTAGTGCCCCAGCTACGTGGGCAGCAGCTGCTGCTGATTGTCTCTTTGACTTTGGCGCCACAATGGCGAAAATAAATCACAAAATCATAATCATAAATATATTATAATAATAATAATTCTCGTAATAACAGCAACCGAATCATATGACTGACAGTTGCCAGTCAGTCAGTCAGTCAGTTAGAGTCAACGATATGCAATAGAATATCAGTTTCTGGGTCAACTACTTAGCTCTGCTGAAGCCGAAAAGTTCTCGAGCATTTGGGTAGACCCCGAGGGCGCTTCGCCAAAGAATTTTAATGATTTATGCTGCCTGCCACTCTCCACCTTCGAATGTTCCCAACACACAAGACAGAAGACTAAAAACTGAAGACTCAAGGCACAGAAACCGAAACCAAAGACTCTCCTTGGCTCCAAGTGGAGTCATTTATTCAGTCACTCACTCACTCACTCGGTCGATCGTCGTGCAGTTTCTTCATTTCATTTGATTTTATTTCGGGTTTTGCTTTTTGTGTCTGGCTTCAACGACCAATTGCCGCAATTATTGTGTCTCTCTAACACGGAATTTAAATCAGCAACTGTCCCACGGGGCACTATTTTTCGTAGCCCTTTACTTTGGATGCATTTGCTGGCCAACAGAGAGAGAGAGACCTTTTTCTAGGCCTCCGCTAAACCCATAATTATCGGCCACAGCCACAGCTGTGTGTCTGGGCCCCATGTGAAATTGCTCTGGATGAGCAGGCAAAGAGCCAAAGACCCAAAGCAACAGCTAGAGCCATAGCCAAAGCACAATAAATCAATTGCCCAGGCCATGGCTGGCAGATGGAGATGAAGATGGAGTCAGAGCCAGAGCCAGAGCCAGAGCCAGAGCTCTGGAGTATCTGGTGCAGTGGGTCAGTGGCTGGACACAGCTGGATTGCGGATCCCTGCTTCGGTTCTTAATGATCCCCAACATGCCCCAGCGGCGATATCAAACTTCCGCTCCAAACATTTTGGGCGCGTGTTGAATAAATCACTTACTAAATTGTGCCAAGTGCTGCAGTGCCCCTCGAGGTGAACAAAAACAAAAAGGCGCTGCATATAATTGTCTGGGAAATTGTCTGCTCGCATGTGGAAACAGAAGAAACTTTGCGCCCCAAGTAAAAGCGGAAGAAAATCCATAATAAATTGTAGTTAAAAGCAAAACAAACGCGCATTTAATTGCACTTTAAATCGTTGGCCGTTGAAGAGTTTAAACATTAGTTTTGGGCATTCATTCAGGTCTCGCATTCATTAGATGGCGATGACGTTGCCACTGACTCATGCCCACCCAGTAAGGCCACATTCTCGTGCCAAGCGCGTGATAAGAGACAGCCAGTGCCAGTGACAGAGCCAGAGCCAGAGCTAGACAGAGAGACAGACAGACAGACAGGCACGTGAGAGACAGATTGACAGTCACCGCCCCCACATGTCTCTCTCGTGAGGTGCACAAAGTTTTGCGGAATTCGCCAACGAAAATGCTATGCCTCGAGGCTCGCGCATTCGATCTGATGATCGGCTTTCGGTTTTTTGGCCACTTGGCCCCTCCATTTGGCTCATCAGTGGATTCGTTTCGTGAGTAAAATTTGTACATTTTCCTTTGATGGCTTTTGATTTTGATTTGCGTTTGCTGGTTGCGTTTTTCCCATTGTTTTTGGCCTTTTTTTAATGGCCAACACGACTCTTTGACTCCAGAGAGTCTCTCTCTCTCTCAAAGTCTGTGAATAGTCTGGCAGCAAGACGGAAAAGAAATTGCAATCAAAATGCGAGCAAACGTGGCCAAGCTTCAGCTTGAACCTCAGCTCTGAGCTTCAGCTTTCAGCCTCAGTCTCGGTCTCGGTCTCAACTTCAACTTCAGTCTTGGGTTTCGGGGTTTTTCTTTTGGTTTCTGCTGCTGCGATCGTGCTGCGATTTTGATTTGAATTTGGCAATTGGCAAGAGCACGAACGAGAGTCGCGGGGGTAGTATGCGCAGGCCCGCAGGCCCGCAGGCCGCGTGGGGCATTAGAATTGAATTGCAACAAAAAACGAGGCCCAACAAAAACCAAGAGTCCTGTGCTGCCCCCGATCCCCCTGTTACCCACTCTCCATAATCTTTTGCTTGCGTGCTATATTGGCCATTTATCGTCAAATTAAACGCATATCGCTGTCAATCTGCACCCAAATTGGACACAGTCACAAAACGGCAGTCAGGCAATGGCCACGGCAAACGGACACGGCAAACGGACACGGCTAACGGACACGGACACGGACGCAGGCGATGCCAAAAGTGATTGCACAGTGGGCTAGAGTCTGTTATTCAGTGGAGTGAATAGCCAGTCCCATTTCTGTGACAAAGATTCTTTTGTGCTTTTTTTTTCACCCACAAAACTCAGCTTTGCCCCACTGTGGCATGGCCTGCAGCTTGAGCACTTATTTCTGGCTTTTGGCTGCATTTCTACTTATTTTCGGCTTGTCCAGGAAGATGGACCCACCGTGGAGGTCTTCACACTTTAGCAGAAAGCGAGTGAGAGCAGGAGGCAGGAGGCAGGGCGGCGGAAAGCCTCCTTTCGCCAGCTGTCAAGTGGACATGGGACATCGGCTGTCTGGCGTTGAGTCCCTGAAAGTGGGCCACCGATGAAAGTGAATCTTGGCTGTGCGTTCATTAGTAATAATTTTTGGCAGTTCAGCTGGTTGAAGCGGGGCAGCGATCGTCTCATTAGTGAGCGAATAAGTGTTTATGCAATGGGATCAGGATATATGCAGGTATGCCGCTGCATCCTTGACCTCGATGGCTGCCTCTTTGAAGCTTAATAACTTTGGCAAAAAAAAAACCCGGACGGAGTGGCGAGAACTGGTAATGGTCATGGCATGGCATGGCAACTGGTATGCTGGTCTGCTGGTCACCACTGCTGGTATCCACCGCTGCTATCCAGTGCTCTCCTTTGGTCTGGTATGCCGTGTGCCTGTCTTTGGTCTTTGGCTGTGTGGCTGTGGCATGTGGCAAGATTTATGGCCAGTGATAAGTTTCAGGCGTGCTGCAAATAAGAACGAACATGGCAACGCAGTTTTGTTTGTTTTTGGGGCCACTCAGCTCAGGCAGGGGCGCTGGCACTGGTACAGCCATGAGAGACCCCTGAGAGGCAACGCGAACTGGTTCTTGAAATGCGGGAGAATGCCAATTCCAGAACCCAAGAACTCCACACCACAGCAGAAGGTCATGCGAGTGTGTACATGCTCGTACTCGTCGTATCTTTAGCTGATCCAACGAAGCGCAACTTGATTTCCATTTCTTGGACTCTAATTCACTTTCACACACACACACACATGTTGCAAAGGCGGGGGAAATTATTATTCGCCATAATTAGGCAGAGAGTCGACCCTTAATTAGCCAAGTTCCAGTGGCCAGGCACGCCAGTGGACCAAAGAACCGTCACCAGAGACCACAGACCTCAGACCTCAGACGCTTAATTAGAAAGCAGAAAAATCTTGTACTTTCGATTGGCGACGCGACACGAGGATGCATCCTCCACATGCGATGACAGCACAGAAATGGCAAATCATGTTTATTTTGGGCTGAAAGCAACTGTATCGAAAGGGCAGGCCAACTGTCTCTTGAGACGAGGTCTGTCTGAGCCACTCGAGCCGACTCTTGGGTCTTGATTCTTCTAAGTTGGCATTAAATTACGAAAAAGTCAAGAGACACACACAGAGAGAGCAGCGGAGAGTTTCAGTTCATTTGTGGTTGCCATCAAGCAGCAGTTGGAGCAGCAGCTGGAGCTGGAGCTGGGGCTGGAGTTGGTCGAGTAAGCAGCAAGAATTTCAATGGACTCCAAAGTAACATTGTAGCTGCCCCCCCTCTTGCCATCACTCTTGGCTTGCTACCACTTTTGGCCAACAGCAAGAGACGAATCTTGGTAATGGGAACGAGTCTTCTCTGCTCTTCTGTTGACCTCAAAATTGTTTCGTGGCTTGAATGTCGCTTTGTCTGCCGCTGCTCGAGGAGAAACAAAAGTGAAATTTTCAGTGTTGCCTTGTCCCGTGTGTGTGTGTGTGTGTGTGTGTGTGGGGGGGGGTGTTCTAGTCGACAAAAATGAAATCGTTGAAGGTGAAGGAGAGCCAAACGGCCAACGGCACTTGGCCAACACACAAAAAGCAAAAAACAAATGCATTTTCACTTGGTTTGTTAATTAATTAAGGCAGCGGCAGCAAGATCAGGGGCAACAGCAGTGTGGCACACAAAGAAAAAGTTGATGCCCCTTGGCCGAAAAAGTGCAGTGGATTCCCTGGCACTCTGCAACTTCTGCAACTCTTCATCTGTGGAACAATGGCATCCTACGGCTGGCAGGCTCCTTCGCTCTTTTGCACCTGTCGCTGCACGGAGCAGCAGGCAATTATTTGTTATAATTTTGTTGCTCTTCTGCTTAAAAAATGCAAACCATTGGCAGTCAGAGTCTCTCTCTCTCTCTCTTTTTGTCCCCTCATGGCGGTTCGAGTTCAAAGACAAAGGCACAAACAATTTAGCTGGAATCTGGCTAGAATTTAGCGCTGGCAGGCAGGCAGGCAGGCTGGCAGACAGCATTGTTGCGGCTTTCTGCTCTGTTCTGCCATTGCCGCTTCTTGGCATTAATTAATTGCAGAGCTTGCCGCTTGCTGCAGAGAGAGAGAGAATTCTATACGTTTGTGGGGTTTGAGGGGTGTGTGAGAAACTAGTTGGCCCGGGGGTTGCTGGGGGGACGGCTCAGCTGGAGAACTAATGAGCGTTAAGCGTCCGTCCAGCAGCAGAGTTGGAGTTGGAGCTGCAAGATCTAAGCTTCAACGTTCGACAGACAGGCCATTGCAAATGAAAATGAAAGTGCTTAAATGCAGAGCAACGAAGTGCCAAATGCTCTACAGTAAAAATAGCAATTAAGGGTGGAATCTTTGGAGATCCCCTCACAAATTGTTTATGTTTTCAGCAGTCAAACATTAAGCGGCATGCCGGGATAGAAAATTAATACTTTTTCCCATGGTTTCTGCAAATGATTCTGCTAACAATTCTCTGACATATTTCCCCTTTCGCTCACTCCGTTCACTCAATTAAAAGAGAAGCAAACAAATGCCAATACTTCCTCTCTTTTTTTTCTCTCTCTCTCAATTCTGGGAAGTGTATTAGCCAGACCGCCTTTGTTGCTCCATAATTGCTTGGAATCTTAAGATCTCTTTTGGCGAAATATGCGATCATTTCCGCAGCTAAAAGGAAAGCAGCTCCGCCGCTGCCGCTGCCGCTGCCACGGAAATTAACCAACGATTAGGGTGCCCCACTCCATTGGACAGTGGCTTATGTCTTGGACTGAACTTTAGCCTGGAACTTCACACGAAACGAAACCATAGTAATAACAATAATCCAAATATGTAGCTACAGCGTCAAGTGCTAGGGCTGATTCGACAAAAAATAACAAACAAAAAAAAACCCACAAAATGGGGAAGAGATCTTTAGATCTTGAGGTCCGAAAACTTATTTATTTCTTTAGAAATCTGCGCACTCAACTCAAAAGAGGCAAAAGAAGTGCCCGAAGAATGGGCAGAGATTCCGAGAGTTAGAGGAGACGACCTTCGTCAAGCCCATTACCCATTGCACACTATCCGGTATTCAGTGTACACTATTCATACTATTCATTGTATCCACTATTCGTGGCGTGCGGGGCGTGGCCACAATTAATTCGATTGCAGCTATAAATAGCCACAAAAGAGATTGCAACGCCCAGCGGCGGGAGATAGGTGCGTGGAATGTGGCCTAATCGATGCAAAAATATCTCAGAGACCCCGAAAAACTAGTTCTAAGCCGCACGAGAATGTGTTCCTCCATCAATGGGATGGCGTGGAATGGAATGGGCACCAGTACGAGATCGAGTACGAGTATGAGTACGCGTACGCTTACGAGAACCAGCTGGGGTTCTACATCTAATAACTGGAACTAAAGCGTGCGCTCCACAGACACCGCAGTAATTAGCGTTTTGTGCGTGTGTGTGGCAGAGAGTCGGATGAAAAATGGAAAATAAAGCGGCACAAATGCTCCAGCTTCAGCTTCAGCTTCAGCTTGAGCGCGGTTCAATAACCTAAACATCCATCGAGAGATCCATCGAGCCATCCATCTATTGGTGGACGGATGGGCATTCTCTTGCGGTGTGCCCAGGGGGCGCATATTTGCAAAAACAAAATCAAAATGATAACAATCGACACACATGAAGACGGGAATGCAGAGATGATTAATCAAAGAACTTCCATCCCGCATCCCGACACACTCCTTCGAATTCGGTGATAAGGTCAATGCTGTTCCAATTCCCATCCCAGACATCATCATCTCCATCTTCATCTCTCCATCTATGAGCAGGTCTTCAACAATTCTTTCCCCTGTGCTCCGTTGTGTTCTTTTCTGTTCTGTAACCTCTTTCTCTCTCTCTCTCTCTCTCTCTATGTGTTCTTTGTTCGTGCCACGCTCGGAGGCAGCATTTAATTGATCGGATTCACTTTGATTGATCGGATCGTCGCTTGTGATAATGGTACCGTTAATTTGGTAAATTATTTTGCATTTTAGCCGCAAAGCAATCCATTTCCCAATGTGTGGCATTCATCGAGGGGGGGAGATCGCATCGAATGGCAAGATTACACAGCAGCGACCCTGGCCTGGCCTGGCCTGGCCTGGCCTGGCCTGGCCCGAGCTCACAACGAAATTCAGTTAAGGTTAATGGGTGACGGGTGACGGAGCAAATCAAAGACGGAGCATACAAGTAGAACCCCAGTAAGAGCTTATGTTTGTGTCTGCAATGACAGAATGAGATCAGTGAAGGGCATCACAGAGTGGAGATGGCTCACATGTAGAAATCATCGAATCAAAAGCACCAAGGGGGGTCCAATATGCCATTGGAGGGAATTATAATATGATATTTGCAACATTTTAAAAGCATTTCTTTATGGTTTATTTGCGCTTTAAATCGTTGTTTAACGATAAGAGTTGGAAACTCTTAAAACTGCAACATTCATTCTTTGTTCCTCCATAAGCATTTTTTATGTGCAATAAAAATCAAAGAAGGAGGGAGACAGAGCATTCATTCATTCATTCATTCATTGATTTCTGAAGTCTGAATTCCGGATTGAGCATCGCATGGAGTGGAACAACATTCCTATGGCTTCCATTCATTGCCAGTCGGCCGGTCGTTCAATTAATAATTTCGAATCCTGATCCTGCCCCACACAGAGGGGCGCACGTTATTGCGGATTCCCCCAAGTGATGTTGGTGCTGAATGCTGATCCACAAAAATCTTAACCCAAAAACCAAACAAAGAAAAACAAAAGTCACCAAAGAAAAAAAAACCAAAAACAAGGCATCGAACCAACCGTTTGGAGATGCTGGGATGGATGGGAGCATCTTGGGGATACAATATCGAAAACGAAACTTTACTTTATGTGGACGCAAGCAGGCCATGCCATGCCACATGGAAATGGAGGTCAGAGCCATAATTCAATTAGGAACCTGCATCGAGTGATGCACCATCGACCGAGCGACCGAGCGACCGAATCGACCATTCAAATTGAATTCCCATTCCCGGATACCCGGGTGCGTGGTGCGTGGGTTTTTGGGGGCATTTCGTTTCGTTTTGACTGTTTGTTTTCAGCCTTCACTTTTGTTTCATTTTCAGGCCCGAAACCTCAGCCAGAGAGACAGATAAAGCCGCAACGACCACAACGGGGCGGCGGTTGGTGAGTCACAGACATTGCGATTGGAATTCTGCGCGCTTTGAGGATTTATGAACAAGAATAATAAAACAAGAAGAAAATAAAGAGCAAAAACCGGTTAAGAAAGAGAGAGAGAGAGCGAGGGAGAGGGAGAGGGAGAGGGCTTACCTGTATGATGGAGCCGGCGATCGATGCGGAACTGAAGCTGGCATTGCTGTTGTTGCTGTTGCTGTTGCTATTGCTATTGCTGTTGGTTGTGGCATCCCTTCGTGGCTGTGAATTATCCTTAACACCAATGCCAGCGGTCTTTAGCAGCAACTTGGACACCACCGAAATCTTCTCCGACTGCTGCTGCTGCTGCTGCAGACTGTTTACGTTTCCATTCCCGCTCCCGTTCCCGCTGCTGCTCAGATCCGTCGTGCTGCTGGAGGAGCACGAGGAGGAGGCGGAGGAGGAGGATGATGAGCTGACCGTCAAACGGTTTCCATTTTCCTTGTGATTTCGCATTTTCGCATTTGCTGCTGAGAGTTTTTCGTTAGCGCTTCGTTTTGTTGTTCTTTCAAAGTCCTCTTTTGTGGCACGCTTTTAGAGCTGCTTGAATCTCATTGCCATTTCGCTGTGGGGCCACCTCTGTGAAGGGGTTCATCAGATGATGTAAGCGAATCTTTGGAATTATTTTAATTTTAATTTGCTCTCTGGCGACACATCTGTCGCACTCCCTGCTGCTGCCTCCCCCTCCTTGCCACTGTCTCTGTCCCTGTCTCTTTGTGTTATCGCGGAGTCCGGTCTGTGGCGCATCTTTTGGAATGCAATGCAGCCAAACCAGAAAATACGGAGACGGCAAACACATAGATGGATGGGCAGAGAGAAAGAGAGGGAGACACACACACACACACACAGCAAAAGAGAAAGAGAGAGAGAGAGAGAGCGCGCGAGACACATGAGAAATTGAATCGATTTTGGTGAACGACTGACCGCTGCCATTCGTCCGTCCGTCTGTCCGTAAATATTTGTCGAGTTATTTAGGTTTTTGTGTAATAAGTTGGAGAGTATTATGTGTTATATGTATGTGGTGTGTGCAGCAACAGCAGCAACAACAACAAAAGGAAGGAAAGAAAAAAAAGTGAACCAGGTTTACATAACATTGACCCACGAAATAAGCAAAGAGCGGGGAGCAGAGGAGAGGAGAGGAGACGAGTGGCGACTGGGAGGCGACAACCGTGCCGAAGCATCAGCAGGAGGAGGAGGAGGAGGAGCAGTAGTGTCGACCCGAGACGGTCGTCCGTCTAAGCCAATAAACAAGTTTGCGCCCAAATGCGATTTGGCGACTGCATTTCATCGTCTCCAAATGGCCCACGCAGTTGTCTCTGTCTCTGTCTCTGTGTCTGTGGCTGTGGCTCTGTCTCTCTTTGAAATGTCATCGTTTTCTGTATGGTTTCTATGCAAATTGATGTCCATTAATGCCACTGGAGGCTGCCACAAGCAGCAGCTACCAACAGCAGCAGCAGCTGGCACTTCTGGGGCCCCGTAAACTTCAAGTGTTTAATGCATAATTATGAGTGGAGGCCCAGGCCCAGAGAACTGGAACTTGAATTGAAATTGGAACCAGCGATGCCAAAGGAACGCAACATCGACTGGGGCTTCATCTGAGCCCCTGAGTACCCTGCTGTCTCTCCTCCTCCTGCTGCTGCTGCTGCTGCTGCTGCTGCTGGTGGGAGCTAGAGCTTGTCCTAGCAGAGAAAAAAAAAAAACTGGATTCTGTTGACAAACGCAGACACAGAGCTGGAAGCAGCTCCAGACCTAGGCCCAAGCTGAGAGGCACGAGAAGCCCCCAAAGAGAAGGAAGAAGCCTGTTTTTTGGCATGGGTTGGGATAGGGTCGGATGAGGAGGGGTACAAAGTACGTGGCAGATAAATCTACTTACTAGCCACAGTCTCAGCCGAAGTCTCAGTCTCAGCTTCAGGAGAGAGTGCAATGACACTTCCTCCTCGTAGCAGGAGGAGGATACCCACCCCAAACCAATTTGCTAATTATGGCCTTGGGTAGAATGCGAATATAAATACGACTAGCCGCAGTGAGTTCCGAAATTAGACACCTTTTGCTGCCGCTGGGGCACTGGGTTTGTTTTTCTGCCTCACGTAATATTCAACATCGAAATGCAAAAATGACAAAAAGAAATATAATGCGGAAAACACATGCAAAAATACAGAAAGTGGCGCCAGCGAAATGAGCACAGACCCAACCCCCAACCCTCAACCATCAAACTGCAGCAGTGAGTTCCCCCGAGTTGCCCAAAAACAAAAGCAAAACCCAATAGCAATAGCAATAGCAATAGCAATAGCAATTCCAATTCCAGTTACCAAGCTTCCATGTTCCAAGCTTCGACTCGACTAGACGACGGACCAGAGTGGCTCTAAGAACGGGTTTTGATTGCTGACCAATCGATGGCGAGGTCAGAAATGGCTGAAAGACCAGCGACCAGCGCTAAACAAATACATTGATCTTTATGGCAAAAACAAGGCTCTGTCTGTGAATCCTTTTCAGAGCCAATTGAATATTCTTCTGCCATTGAATCCAGTCCCAAAATTAAATCATATTTTCAGCTAAATTATGATAATTGAACCATGAAATTGTGCCCTTTCACATCTGAATTCTTAGAAGAAAATCAATATTTTCATTGTAATTATGGTTCGTATTCTTGCAACCGTGAAATCTTTCCCCTTGAGTTTCCACTGGGTTTCGGTATTAGATCTTTGATATCTTAATCTGTAGATCTTTCCAGCATTGACCAACCATCCATCTACTATTCTATTCAAATGGTTGTAAATCATTGAAGCTATGCCCAAAACAAAAACAAAGAATGGATTGCTTTGGCAACCTTGGGTTCTGTGTTCCTTGAACCCCTGACCTCTCTCTCTCTGTCTCTGTCTCTCCCTTTGTGTCTGTGTGGCACTTCAAGCATTTGTTGAATTCCATAACCAAGTAAGTGTTTGCTTATCAGCTTAAGATATCTGCTAACTGTTACTGCTTCTCCCTGCTGCTGCTGCTGCGTAGGTGGCCAACGGGGAACCGAAAAAGAGTTGTCAAAGATCGGAATACCTGAGATGGAATCGCAGAGAGCGGGTGTCGGCTGTCATAAATTTACGCTTGTACTCTCGGAGTGTACTCCTCGTAGTGTCAGCTACTAACAAGCGTTAGAAAAGCGCTGCAACTGCTTCGTATGAATGGGAACTGTTACCTGCCAGCCAGCTACTACCTGAGGTGCCGGTCTGAGGTGCCAGCCACTGCCACACTCTCTCAACTTTTGCCAACTCATTATAATTTTCGTCAGTTCTCACACAGGTAGCAGCTGCTGCTGCAAGCAAAGGTGAAGATCGCGAGGCATTCCATTCCGCAAAACAAAAGCAAAATGGCAACTGCTGGAAAATGGGGGAAATGGGAAGGATGAAGGTGGAAGGTGGAAGATGGAGCCAGCCTAAAGCTGGGGCAGAAAATCGAGCTTCAGTCGACGCATAAATTTACAATTAAATTTTATTCGTTCGCTGGATTTCCGCAACAGCCAGCAACCAGCCACAAAAAAAGGGCCTGGCAACACCGCTGCTTGCAACCTGCGGCAAGTTCAACGATTTCTTTAGTGCTCCGCTGCGCTGCAATGCGCTTGACGAGGGAAAAACTAAGGGAAATGTATTATTCCCAAGCTGCGCTTCTTGGTAAGTAAATGTTGTTGCAGTTGCAGTTGCAGCTACAGAGAGACACGCCACACACAGAAACATTTCAGAGGTGCATTCGTTTCGGCTTTCGTTTATGATCCGCTGTCAACAGGACCTGGAAGGATCTACCTACGGGACCGAAGGAAGGGATCGGTTCGTATGATTTCATTGTGTTTGCTTTACTTCCGCCAAAGCGAAGAGCAAACACACAGCATGCGGCATACGGCATGCAGCAGGATGCGAAATTTAGTTGCTTTGAAGGCCTGTAGAGTGGATGTTGTAATTTGTCTGGGTAAACTGTGAAGGTCGTTGGCTTCGAGCCACAAGGTCGTTTCTCGTTCTCGTTTTCTTATCAACGAAACAGAAAGAGAGACACAGGCAGAGGCACAGGCAGAGCCAGGGAGATGCTGGAACTCCAGAGAGAGAGAGATACAGAAAGAGAGGGAGAGAACAAGTGTCGGTGTGGTATGTGGCACAAATATTTACCTTTGCAAATTCCTAGCACTTTATGCAATGCAAATATGAAATGTACAGACACAAAAAAACCCCCACAGGAAAGTGCAACAAGGCAGGGGAAAGCCAGAAAAGTGTATCTGGGGAGAAAAAGTTGATAGAAAGCAAAGGAATGTTGTTCCATGTGAAGTGACTTCCTCCTTGACTCAAAATAAACACTCGACTAAACATATAAATAATAAAATTTAAGTGGAAGTTCGCACCCAAGAGAAACCCTCTTCAGATAGATCTTTCATCGTTCGTTCTGGTTCCCGTTTGGGATGCTTTTAATTCCTAGATTTAAACAATCTTTCTCGCAACACTTTGTATCTACCGTTGGGCAAATGGTTTTTCTATTACGTATTTCGTTCTAGCTCAAATAATGATGAAATGGCAATTTCTGTGGAACTTATTTTTTGTGAGTTTCTTTCTGTTTTTTCGTTCGCCAGCCCCTATATCATCATCATCATTCCCCCCATTCCATCTCTGTTTATTTGCTTAGCTGGAGACACGAGTCGTCCCGTTCGAGCAGCAAGAAAATACAATTTTTTGCGCAACTTTTTGTCAAGGAAAAACACTCAGTGTGTGGCGTGGCAGGGCTCGTGTTTTCCCGAAATTGCAGCTTATTATGTGAGAAATTTACAACTCTGGGAGGGGGAGGTAGAATTCTCCTGCTGCCTGGGATGATGTTTCATTAGCTTTCTGGTTCTGTCTCTGTCTCTGTTTCTGTTGCCGTTTCTGTTTCTGGTTCGCGAGTGTAGTGGTGTTTGCACTACTTAATTGTGACAAACGATAAGATTAAAATTAGTCTTAGTCGTTGAGAGCCGGCAACAGTACGAGTATACCCCTGCGATAAGATAAAACTCTCCACACAGTCATACAGAGAGGCAGAGAGAGAGGAAGAGGGAGCGAGAGACCCAGAAACGAGTTACCGCCAATGGAGGTGCCGCTGACAACTCGAGTGGCAACCACACACACACACACACACACGGAAGCACACATCATGGATCATGGATCATGGATCATGGATGGGAACCAGATAGAAATTCCATCAAATATGGCAAGGTCGCTGGTGCTGGTGCTGCTGCTGCTTCACACCGCATTCCACACGGATGTTTGCCTTTTTAATTAAATAGATCATCGGGTGGCGAGTACTCGACTCGTATAACAACTTAATCAATCTTTAAAGCTACAAAAACATTGACACAAGAGACCCAGAAATGGAAAGCCCAGAGAGATACACAACAATATGTACGGTACGCATCTCGAAATGAGTTCAAAACACCCGAAAACACCAAGAGTCGAAATACCATTTGGTTTTGTCGGGTGAATGCCGGCGAGTGTATTGAACTCGGCTCTTGGGTCTGCTCCAGCACTACCGCCTCCACTTCCACTTCCACCTCCATTTCCACCTACCTATCGCTTTCCTCCCCTTCCCCACCAATCACGGGGCTATAAGTTGAGCAAACAAGTTTGCTTTGAAATTCTTTTGTAGCATTTGATGTTGATGCCATGCCAGAACCAACCCCCCCTCTGAGACAGTTGATAAGTTGTCACATCGAAATGCGACATGGAAACCCTATGCCTGCCTGCCTGCCTGCCAGCCTGCCTCTCCAGAGCTGCAGCTCCTTCTTGCATTCTCCTCCTCCTCCTCCAGCTGCAGCTCCAGTTTCGCCCACTTTCCCTGTCAGTGCAGAAATGTCAGCCAAGGGGATTTGCATGATTTGCTCTTTATCATTCGTTATCGCAGTCTGAATCAGTTTCGGAATTCTTGAGTACTTCAGAGAGATGCAAACTTGAGGAACTCTAATTTCTGGCTGGATGGATGATTCACAGGAAAAAGGGAGTTGAGTCACAGGAATATCAATATTTAGTTCGCATTAGTTTTAGTTCTTTTTCTCAAGTCCCACTCCTACCTCTGGCAAATCGTTCTCTTCTCTAACCTTCTTTGTTTGCCACTTCTAACACTCCTCTATCGCTATACATGGTTTTATGGCTTTAATTGCTGGTTTATTTCATTCGTTTTTCGGTGCATTTGCTTATGCAACTTTATGGCTGTGTCTCACGACCCACAATTCCGATTCGGATTTGTCTCAGGCGACGATGCATTTGGGTCCACGAATTGAGTTTCTTACCGCAAATTATTTGCGGCGCGAGTGGTGGTGGCGCCCCCACCACTAAATAATCTAAAACACGTACTGGGACACCTATTTGACCAGGTTTTACCAGGTCTTGTCGATCGGTCTAACTAGGGGTGTTTATGCTATATGCTCTACATGGAGGAAGGCACAAAAACGAGAACGGGATGACCGACACATGAGAAATTTTGCAGCTGCTTTTGTGCTCCGCCTTGTCTATCTTCCTTTCTCTCTCTCTCTCTCTCTCTCTCTCTCTGTTGGTTCTCTGGGATCGCATGCAGAAGAAGGAGAAGCATAAAAAGGAAGAAGTTTTTGAAGCGCGGAAAATGGCAAGCTCCGAAAACTGGTTGGAAAATGGTTGTTGCTGTTGCTGTTGGAGGGGAAAACTTGTTGTGGCAGCCGCAACACTCAACAGAAAAGAGACACAGCTGAAGACACAGAATCTTCTTGCCACCCGCTAAAACAATCTTTCATGAAAATATGCATGGATATTTTGTAAGCGGAAGAATTCTTCAGCGGCTGAAGGTTGAATCACTCAAGAAACTGTTTTTCTTCTGTTTTTTGTCTCATTTTGTTGATGTTTGCTGAATTGTGTAATTTTTTTGTTTGGAGGCACATTTTTACACGATATTGTTTTAAAGCTTAAAAGGCCGTTTCGTGCTTTTGGCCGCTTTTTTGTTTGCATTACTTCTCTCTCCCCGACGTTCTCTTTCTCTCTCTCTCTCTCTCTCTCTATGTTGCGTGGAGAGCTTAAGCTGGTTAAACTTTTCACAGAATTTCCGTTGTCAAAAGAAATGCACTCGTTTTATGTTATTCGTATGTAATAATTCTTTTAATAAACTCACAAGGCACAACAGGCACGGGACACTCACTATCGCAGACACGGGACACGGACACGGCGGACACGGAAAGGCTGCGCGGGCCACCAGAAGCGAGCGCGCGAGGGGGTGGGCATATAACGTTGTCTCTGCCTCTGGTTCTTGCTGGCGCGTCGGGGTCTTACGAACTGAACAAAATGAGAGCCGAATGGAGACTGAGACACCGCTGGCCAAGAGTCTCGATCAGGCAAAGCTCACCTCGTATCGTGTCGAATCGCTCGCTCGCTCTCGCTCTCTGTCCGAGCAATTGCAAAAATACACAAGCAAGCCACGTTAAAAGGCAGCTAAAAACAGTCGAGAGCGGGAGAGGGCGATGCGTCTCAAGACGATGCTGTTGTTGTGGTCCGAGTGTATGGCACACGAGGTGAGGTGCATTCCAAGAGGTGTGCTCTCTTCATGTATGGCAAGAAAGAAATAACGAAAGAGGGAGCGCGTGAGAGTGAGATTGTGTTTACCGTACACAAATTGTACCTTGGTTTCGAGAGAGAGAGAGAGAGAGAGAGAGAGCGCGAGCAGCTCTACCTGAGCCGCTTCGTACTAGTGGGAGAGAGGGCGGGCGGCAAAATTGAAAAAACCCAGTAGGAAATGTACGTATGCTGTCAATATGTTGCCCATCGAAATCATTTGCTAATGGGGGTTAGACCCTCTTATCAGGGAACACCAGCAGAAGCAGCAATAACAACAACAACTGCACAGAGCTAAGTAAACAGGTATACTCGTATTTCTATATTACTGAAAGTCACTTATCTAAGCAGGAGGAATACAGCGAGAGAGAGAGAGAGAGAGAGAGAGAGAGAGTACTGCTCTCAGAGAGCGCTGTTTCATTTCAGAACCTGTTGAGTGTCCAGTTCTTGGCTTTGGAAGTTATGTGGGAATGGGAGGAGGGAGAGCGAGAGCAAGAGAGCGCTCACTGGAATAAATGGAAGACAAGAACCTGTTGCGGCAAAATGGACTGCTGCAACTTGGCCAAAAAAAAAAACAGAAATAAAACAACAAGAACATCGTGTGGCAAGAAGAGTTCGGAAACAAAGAAAGCAAACCAAAGAAGAGGCACCGAATGAACAAAGGAAAGGAAAACGGCTGATAAGCAAGGCCGTTGGGATGGGATTCAACAGAGAGACAGAGCGAGAGAGAGATCAGTTTTGGCTGCTGCCTGGACACGCGGTTCGGCTGCGGGTTTGGGCTCTTCAGACTTCAGATTCTGATTCGGATTCACTTCAACGTTGATTTATGTTCTGGTTCTGTTTGCACTTTTGATTTTCAGCGCATGTTGATTTTAATTAGGAAAGAGAAGACGGAGAACCACTTGGGGGACCACCAACGAGGTTATGGGCCCTGAACTTGAGCATCGCCCCTTCCCTTCCATTCCCTTCCCCGCGCACCATTCGTGCCACTCTGCTGGCCATACAGAAATTGAATTTCAATATTTTGATCGGGGCATGACCGTTAAATCGAACGCTCATATATCGCACGCAAACCAGGTGTTAATGAGGCATTTTGTTACAGCTTTTGGCCCCAGCCAATTTATGGCCCAAGAGAGTGGCTTCGATTTAACGGTACAAGCGAAAGGTTGGCCAAAACTTCAACAAATGCAAATATATCTCCAAAGAATCCAATTCTCGACTCGCACCAGAACAAAGCACCAAACAATGGGAGACTTTAAGAGAAAGATGCTACTTGGTCTTGGATCTTCTGTCTTAGAGTTTCTGTGTCGATCGATCCGATCGGTTCACTGAACGATTTTAGACGGGATAAACTATGGGATCTGTGACCTATCTGCACAGTCCCTCCCCCCGCCGAGTCAGTCATCTCCAATTAATCATCGCTTTGGTTTGTTGTTTTGCAAAATCTATAGAAATGGAGGGGAGAAAGACAGAGGGAAGTGAGGGGGAGTTGGTGAAAACAAGTTTATGGGAAGGGGGTGTCAAGGGAGAAGATTGTGGAACGTGGAATGTGGAATGTGCCGCGACTATCAATCAATTTTTGTTTCTTTTTCTCTTTCTCTTTCTCGCTCACCCCCGAAAAATACGGTCTATTGTGCGGATGGACGATTACCAAAACGGTGGAGCGGCTTCGGCTTGACTTTCCATAGGAAAAGCCCCAGCAAAAAATAAAACACAAATTGCCTGAAGGTTATCCGGGGAGGGGACACCACATCACAGTCAACTGTTTAAGCATTCAAGTGTGTGTGGAACGTGTGGAACACACCCTGTCCAGAGCCCCGATCTTGATACGATATCATACTTGAGACCCATTTAACGTGGGAAAGAGCCATCAAAACAATAACCACACACGGCCGAGCACTTGGCCCTTTTTGCGAAAAAAATTAAAAGCACAAAATGTTCGTTCAGCTAGGAGCGGGTACCCGGACGAGGTCCGAGATCTGAGGCCCCCAGGCATCAGGCCACAGGCCCGTTCCCCAAAGTTTTGTGAGTTGCATTTCAATTGGGGAGAGAGAGAGAGAAACGTCATCAGGTTGTGTTTTATTTTTGCTCCATATGGCTGATGAAAATTTGCATTCAACCATATGTGGCAGTGGCAGTGGCAGAGTGGCGGGGCGGGGCGTGGCGGGGCGGGGCGGCAGGGAACACATTTTTAATGTCAAGCAACTGGCCGGCATGCCAAAGGTATTATGACATACATTTCAATTCAATTTGTAGATAAAGATGCGCGACTGCAGTTCGCTGCTTTGAATGTATTTTTGAGAAAAAATGCAACAAAGGCGAGCAAAGCGGACAGACAGCGGACGATGGACGACATTTGTGTGGTGTGTGGCCGGGGCAAATGAAGTTCCGCCATTGGCGATGATGTAAACGTCGAAAAACAGATACAGTCCGGACCCGACCCGAATCTATGAGTTACAGTGGCTGCCAGATATGTGGAATATTAGGGAATCAAACAACTTTTGGATGATATTTGTGGGAGTCAACTTTAGATCACTGGAGATAAAGGGAATATTAATTAAATGAAGATAAATGTGCTAGATGGGGATCGGGGAAGCGTTGTAGATAACTTTGGGAAGCATAAATTATAGGAACATTGAGAGAATATCAGCTGCCTCCGCTTCAAGAACTGATCTCTGCCTGAAGCAAAGTTTCGGCTGCTGTAAATCAATTAAAATATTGCTCGTATAGTTTTGCGGGAATGAACACTGTGTTGGGCTGGAGGAGTTCCAGCTGAAGATCTGGCGGCAGTTTGCTGCGGGCCAAGCTTCAATTTTGTCAGTCAGTCAGTCAGTCAGGCAGGTCAGTCGGTTCGTTCGTCTAATTGGATTTGCGCGCTTGTGCGTAACTATAAATCACACACACACAGAAACACATACGATATACATATACTCGTAGAAGCAGATACAAAATTCAGAGACAGTAAAAACCAGCAGAAAGACAGAGCAGGGACAACCGGTTTGATTGCCAAGTCACCCGCTCAAAAGCCACCAACTGCCGACGGTGGAGGAGGAGGAGGAGTAGCTGCCGCAGATCCCATAAAGCTTTTTTCCACTTCAACTATTTGTAAAGTGACCAAAACGGTAACAAGAAGAAGAACGGCAACCACTGGCCACACGAAGAGAGTCACAAAACAAATAATAAAACAAAAACAAAGCCCAAAATATCCTCCTCTTGTTGTTGTTGCTGCTGCTGCTGCTGCTGATCCAGTTCTTCTTTCGGCGTAAAAAACATAAAGAACATAATTATGCTGCTGCACAGAAAATATCAGCTTACGCAACCCAACGCAAAGGTGGCCCCGGCCACAGAATGTGGCATGTCAAATTTACATGACACAAGGAGGAGCAGCCCGTACCCCGTACCCCGTACCCCTCTCCCTGTCCCCTGCCCAGCCGGCAGGTCGTGTGAAAATTATTAATGGAGCCAACGGCTCTGACTGCGACTTGAGTGGGGTTCAGGTGTCATGTGGAAAGTGCTGCTGCTGCCACTGGACGTTAGAAGCTTTCCTAGAAATGTAAGCTTTTTTTTGTTGATGATTTATTTGCCCCAAGATGGGTTGGTTGTAAGCGGATGTTGTAAGCCCAAAAAATGGCAAATTCCAAATGGCCAATGGTTCAGGGACGGAGGGACGGCAGGAGCAACATGACGGCACCAGACGAAGGCCCTAAACGGCCCTCCGGCTGCTTTGTGCGCGTGTGGGGGGTCCGTTCAAGCCCCACATGTGACTTGAACTGTTGGGTGAACTTGTAGCTTCCTTGAGCTACTTGAATTTCACATAAGAAGGACGTCTGGCGTGGATATAGAATTACAGACAAGACGAAAAAAACAACCGAAAACTGATACTCCCATATGGCGTCGAAGCGTTTCAAATAGAGCGCCAAATGTTGGCTAAATAAATATAGCTGTCTGGCAGCGCTCAACCATCGATAGGTAACTATCGAAACTAAATCAAATGAATGAACCATAACAACTAGTTCGCTACTGACCTGGGAGATAACAATCTATGGGGGCCATCAGGTTGACCATTTACGGTATATTATATATCAATCCCCACTTAGGTTAAATTCCATCCTCACTTACGTTTTTTACCGATTTACCGATCGAATACAATGTATTTATAACAAGCCAAATGGATTCTTCAATTCGTTTAAATTATTCTCTCAGTGTTAAAAGTCTTTCCAAGCTTGTAAAATCAAATAGAACATCAAAATCGAGGAATATGTCTGCGGTATATTTTGAAAATGAGAAGGTATATTTTGGTATATTCTATCGATAATTCCGCGGTCACCCTGGTGGCCCTATTCAACTGTTGATTCCAAACAAAGAAATGTGAAAAAACCTCAGAGAACATTCCAAAAACACACCCACAAGATCGCCCATCAAGATGCATTCCGCACAGGCCCAGGCGCAGGCCAGGGACAAACTGTTCAAGAGCTGGTCGGGCATCAGCGAGGTGGCCATCATCAAGGAGGTGGCCACCAAGGGCGAGAACATTGACCTGTGCATGGAGTATTGGGCCAAAAAGAAGAAGATCACGACAGGGGAGTACCGCCACTACTTCTACGATGTGGTGCAGGCCTATGTGCAGCGACTGCTGTCGGAGCGGCTGGTCCACAAGGCGGACACGACGTTGCGTAATGTGGACAGGGACGTGAAGTGCTTCTTCTTTCAGTACGCCTGCGAGTGCCAGGACGAGGATCTCAGCGAGTATGTGCTGGACCATC